GATAGGACAAACACTCCCAGTATCATACCACCCGCCGTTTCACAAAGCATATAGTGGTCGGCCTGTTGGCCGGGAGAGGTCGCCCGTCAAGGTTTGGAGCGGATAGAAATGGTGCCGTTCAGAATGGTGCTCGCGGGTCCTTCTGAAAGTCCCTTCCATTGTCCGTTAGAGAAGGACCATCGAACGACACAAAAACCTCGCCTGGGTTAATTCAGTGATCATAGCAAACGCCCATACCCCAACACGGTAGCGAAAGCCTATTCTCTCGCTAATCGTGTCACTTGCAGTTCGTGGCTCTAACGTGTGCAGTATCAATCCTAGCACGAGCCTCACAGAAGAAAAAAAAAAAAAGACTGCCTGTGTGAAGGAACAAACAAACAGTGCTCCTTTCTGCAAATTGCAATACCTGGGTGGGCCACTCTGTTGGCTTGAAGAGGGAGGGCAAAACGGACCGGGAAGGGACTTTTCTGAACGCACCCAATGCTGGCAATTGAATGGCACAGTTCGATCTAGACTTCGAACAATTCCCCTCGACTGTACACTCCGCAAGTGCTATATACTTGAAGAACATGAGTTATCCACCTGGGGAAGAGAGCCCAACCCCTATGAAGAAAACGTGTTTATCTAGATAAGTGCCTAAACGAGAACACGGACACGATGGACAACCACTCAAAACACAGAGTTTTTGAAAATGGGGTGACATGCTAGGAACGGCGATAAAAGTGTGACTAAAACGTGACAGGGCTCCACAGACCTGCACCAAGTATGGAGTCGGATACAAGTAGGGGATATGTACATTAGCACTGGTATGGACGGCGTATAGGCGTGTTGTAGAATTTTCAATCTGGGTGGGAGCCAGGCAGGCAGGGCGTCACCTATTCCAGTCAATTCTCCGCAACATCTCCCTAAGGTAGGTATCATATCATATGCCACAAGGTCACAATAGATCTTTTGTGTCCTATCACATCCGCACAGGCATCATATCAGTTGAGTACCATACACCGCCAGGCATCCAATCCCCCAGAGGCCAACCAAGGCACTTTCACACCATCGGTACTATACCATACTTCATAATAACTTAACCTCCCCCCCCAGTCCCAAGACTTGTCGGAGATTACCAGACCAGAGAGACATTATCACTATGCTTTCACGACTAACGATCCCGCCATGTTGCCGCAATCCAAGTAGTACGGTTGTAAACCAGAAAAGCAGTGACCGGATTCTCACATCCATTCTACTCTACTCCGCCCTACCAAACTCGAGACGTCACACCTGAGGCCTCATAACTCATTATTCCATCTTTCTCCGGGCTTCTCGTGAATTCTCTGTCCTTGGATGTCAATGATAAAGATCAATGTTCGTCCCATTCCTCTCAGCCCCTCCTGCTCCTCCTCCACCTCCTCCCATGGAGATGGCTAGATGGACGGACGGATTGTAGCGCACGGTACCGTACAACTCCCGAAAACCAGTCATTCATTATACCACCCGGACTATTCTCGTACGATAATATTGGCCCGGCTACACCACCGACCGGAACGCCACCCGCATAACCAAACGAGCAAAGTGCTAAATAATCAAACACGGGGAGGACATCGTTGAAGTATATCATATCACACTACATCGACAGCAGCAAAAGATAGAATACCAATCTCGCTCGTTCGTCCGGGGTAAATAATGCGCTAGCTAGCTTAGGACAACCCAACCAGATCTATCCGGTATCCGCACGCAATGGGGTGTATCGTACAGTACGTATCGCTTCATAGGTACCGTACGATTCTATTTTTTATTTATTTATTTTCTCTAACCGAGTCAATTCCCTACAATCAAGTATTTCACACGGTTTATCATTTTGCTTCCCCGCTCCTTGGAACTATTGTAAGGTCCAGCAACTAGGTCTGGATAAGTACCCCTGCACCCAGCGCTCTTCTGAAATGTGCCTGGATGGGGCGCTCACCCCACTCCCCCACCTGAAGGTGCCTAACAGCGCTAAGCTTCATTCAGCACCGGCTGCACATTTGCGATACACGGAACGTTGGCACAGTCCCAACATGACATCAGCTTTTTGCAGAAAACCCGCATAAATCTCATTACCGGAAACCTCGAGTGATTTCTCATGTACATGCAAGGAGCCAACTGCCAACACCCACTGGAAATATAAATAAGGTGGGAAAAGTCATGGGGAAAAAACCCCTCCGAAAAAGTGAACCGATAATATCTACCCGTTCCATTGCCCTTTTATCTACCTTGGAATAAAGTATATGTATGCACAGAAACGCCGCCATTGCCGCACTCCCATCACGGTCACCCTCCCCTCCACCTCACCATTTCTCCAAGCCAAAGAAGCGGGAAAACACAGACAGACAGACGCGCAAATCTCACAAATCATACCCTTCAGGTGCAAAGTGGGAAACAGGCGAAGAAAAAAGAAAAAAAAACTGTACAACTCCCATATGGGCTCCCCACAAAAAAAATCCCTAATGAGCATTAACAAGAAATCGGAGGAAACCCTACAGACAGACCCCACCCAGACACAAGGAAAACTCAACAAGGGAAAGAGAAGAAAAAAGTAAAAAAAACCTAATGGAAAAGAAAAACCCCCACCCATGACTAAATGTGACTAAAAGTGTTTTTAAAGCAGAAATAACCGTCCTAGAGCGAAAAAAGCTGAAAGCGGGTTGAATTGGATCGGAAAAGAGAAGAGAAATCGGAAGAGAAAAATAAAAATAAAATAGAATGGGTAAGAGACGAGCCAAGATTAAATAGGTTACTGCTGTGAGGCTGGCTGCGGCTGCGGCTGGCTGGCTTGTGGTTGCTGTGGTTGCGGCAATTGAGTGGGGATTTGACCATTATTCAATCTGGGGCTTCCAGCGCTAACCGCTACTGCGGGAGGGTCTGAGGCCGAGTTCACAGGCCCATTGACACCGATCATAGGACCGGTGTTGGCCGCTGCCGTTCGCGCTGGGCTCGGTCTCACGGGGCTACGCACCTGGGCTTGGATATTCTGTGATAGCTGAGCGTGGTAAGATGCGAGTGTTGGCTGGCTAGTCTCGCGGACACGCTCCTGTGGAAGGTTAGGATTCTGATATTGCACTAATGCCGCCATTTCTTGAATTAACATCTGAGCTGGCTTAAGCTGGGTGGAGGCTGCCGTGGTAAGGGCGGGTGGCATAAGGGGAGGGGAGACTGAGGCTTGAGAATCAATTGGAAGGGGGATGATACGCTTTTGCTGAGGGGCTTGTTGATTCACGCTCACTTGCTGACCTTGGCCGAGGGCTGCTTGCTGAGCTTGCTGAAGTAACGTTTGCATGCTTTGCGCGCCGGATTGCGAGCCTTGGGCTCCGAGTGCACTGGAAGATGGATAGCTCTGTGGCGCCACGACAGCATGCTGTTGTTGGTGTGCTATCCGGCGGAGGTGGGCAAGATATTCGGGAGTGGGGCGTTGAGCCTGCTGCCCCTGGGACAATTGTGCCGGAAGAGATCTCACTGGAATGCCGTTGGTACCGTTTTGCATCGGTGGCGCCCGAGGGACTTGAAGGACTCCGTTAGGCCCCTGCGGGGCTGGGGCACCGACTCGTTGTTGGACAGGAATTGATACACCATTCGCAAGCGCGTGGTGCTGGCCCGGGTGTGCGATGCGAGCTTGGGGAGGGATGCCCTGGTGTTACGTTAGGAACAAACCTGTGGGCTGTAGGGGAGGGATAACCATACATTACGAGCCTGTTGCATTTGCATCTGGCTATATATATTCTTCTGCTCTAGGTGTTTCTGCTCCCGTTCAAACTTCATCGCGCTAAAATACTGTGGTGTTCTCAAGGGATTCGCTGTGCTGGCTTGGCTCTCCGAAGCTCTCTTCATAGCAGCGACCACTTGGTCTAAATAATTCATCAGCTACAAATATGGGTAAAAATGTTTATTTTCTCCGGAGAGCGAGGGATATCATACTCTTGTTAGTTTGCTGCTTGTTGACACTGGTTTCGCGCTTTTTCGCCAACTTTCGCATTGACTCAATCAGTGTAAAGTTCCGTGTATTTCTCCGTTTCTCCACCTTGATTGGGGCTGTACCCCTCCTCGGTTTCACGCCTCCAGAACCGCTTCCGCCTGCCGAGCCGGGTACATTACCATACAGTCCGTTTACTCTCGCTGCGACATCCAGACGTTGCTGGATCGGCTTAAAGTGTGGACTCTTGGCAAACTCGGGGGGAATGGGCTCAAGGGCGATCCAGCGCTCAAAACACTCCCAAGGACTTCTCCTCTCTGAGCCAGAATGCCAGTCACCGGGAAGGGTGAGACACTGACTAACAAGCCCCCAGTTATGGTGGTATTCCCGGACAAGGGTTTTGAGCATTTCATCCTCGGATGCCAACCACAAACTTGGGTGTCGATTTTCAAAGAAAGAAGGTGGCGGAAAGTCACTAGGCAAGCGCGGAACATGAGAATTATGCACCCTCTGCAGTATCGATTTGGATTCTGGCTTGAACAGTGCAACATTCGTCTGTTCGGGTGGAAGGGACGATGGCTTCCGCAGCTTGTCCCTCTTGCTGCGCCCGATTAACCTACCGCCGCCTAGTTTTTCATCCTCGTCGGAATCGTCCGCGTAGGTGTCCTGGTTTTCCTCATATTCGTATCTGCTCTTCTTGGATGGGGGACCCTGCTCCTCCGGGATGACTAGCTTCCCACTTGCATACTTTGAAATGGCAACAACCGGCAATTTCGTCCACTCCTCTTCGACCTCCTCAAGTTGTCCAGTAGGAGGCTCTGGAGGGCCATATAACGGTAGCTGATTTAAAATATCATCTGATGCCTTTGAGGCTGGCATAGCAAACACCGTCTCCTCAGGCGAAAGCGTGAAAAGGGTTGCGGGTGGTTCATAGATATGGGCGAAATTACCCTGATCCGTATCATGAGGTCTGTCATCCATCGGAAAGTCGTAATCGCTTTCCGGAGATCCACAACCATCTACTAAATCAGGTGTGGGTTGATTCATATCACTATCCTGCATTTCAATATGCGCAACTCTTCTCCGCTCCTCCCGTATCCCTTTAGGCACAATACCGAGTCGTTTCCTATCAACCTGTAGCCGCCATCTCCCCTCCCCTGCCCGGTGCCATCTGACTGCTTCTTTTGCATAGTATCTTGCCACAGCAATCTTCCATTTCCTCTCCCCTTTAAAATCATCACGAAGCCACTTTGCCTCTTCAAGAAGGTAATCCCAATGGCATTTCCTCCTTCGTGGCTCCACAACCCGGGGAATCTGTCGCAAACTCCAAAGCCCCTGCTCCTGTAGCTCAAGAATTCGGGTCTCGATCCTTACCGCCTGAGTCTCAAAGTAATGCACCTGGTGGTCATCCGTAGTCAGAGTCTTGCTTGACCGTTGTAGCAGATCAGATATTAAGGTTCCTGAGGCTTTGGCAGTATACGCGACATCGAACATATCGGCATTCTTTACCTTGCTCTTTTCCTCGGATGGTGGCTCTGCTATACCATATCGAGTAATCGCATCAATTTTGCTGCCAGGCTGAAAAACCGCACTCCGTCGTGCTGCTGCAGACGCTGCCTGTTGGTCTCTGCGCCGGGCAACAACAATCGGCCCTTGAGCAATTTGATCCTCGTGTAGTCGCTTGGCTTCTTCTTCGAGAGCGGCTAAGGCGTGGTGTGTTGAAGAGATGACTACCTTGCTCAGCTTCGCTGGCTTTTTGCGCGTCTCTTGCCTTCGCAATGGTTGTTTTACGAGTGATGTGTCCGGAACCAAAGAACCATCAGACTCGGCTCCCCCCACTACCATTCCACCTGAAGAGGGAATGTCTTCCCTATTGTCGGGCGCGAACACGGAATTCGTGGGGCTAGCGGGTGGTTCCGCCGCAGCGCCAACCAAGGTATTCGCGTCCGGAGTCGGTACTTTATTCAGTGGCCCTGTTTCATCGTGTCGCTCGTTTGCGGTGTGATCGATCTCCATTTTAGAATCATCAATCTCTTGCAAAGTAGATGCCTCTAAACTCTGTTGCTCGGGCAAAGAAATGCCTCCTACAGAGATATCGCCCACATGTGTCCCCAATGTAGTCCTGTGAACCATAGGTTGATCAACGCCGGACATGGCGGTATCATGACTCGCTACCCCCATATCGCCAGCCCTGTCAGGAATATCAATCTCCATATTCTCGGAGGCATCCTCAACCTCCCTCACAGCCTCCGCAACTTCTCTCGTCGGACCGGCAGTCCGGGGCTCGGGCTCGCGACTGCCCACAAGTTGTACCCGGTCTTCGAGGTCTTCATCATGTGTTTCGCCTACCCCCGCCAGGCTTTGGGAGGAATGCAGCCCCTCGTTAGCCAGCGAATCAAGATTGCTATCATCCTGAGCAAGCGAATTCTCCAATCTCAACTGTGCCGAAGGATCTGGGGATGCAGATTTATCGGTTCTAGCTGACTGAGCCTCATCGGCGTTCGGAACGGTAATGGTCACTGCCGATTCGACTGCAGCAAGATCAGGTTCCCCTCTATTCATGGGCTCCTGAGGCGGCGTCGCAGGTAATTGAGATTGCGTCTCATCCTCATCCATGACAAGTTCCGCAGTGACAATGGCAGAAGGCAAAGACTTTTCAGACTGCGCTCCACAAGGTGACATGCTCTTCTCCACAAATGCCCCAGCCAACTCCTCCTCTGCTGCCTCCTCGGCTGGCATAGTTATCACACCGTAGGGACCGGATTCAGCGACAACCTCCTTGATTTGACCATTGCTCTCCTCTGAATGAGGGTCTGGGCCTAACATGTGGTTAGCATCCGGGCTGGTCGCAGAAGATAAGATATTGCCGGGAGTACTTCGGTTATCACCGTCGATTGAGGATGTAGGTGAATAAACATCCGAATGAGAAGCATGTCCTGAGGGCAATTTCGAGGGAGGGATAGGAGAGGGGCGATCTCCTTTGTTGGTAATAATAACCAGGGGCGGTTGTGGGGGGATGCGTTGAATTTCCTGGGACGCCACGGGCAACCGGGGCTCAAGGACCGTGCCTTTTGAAGCAGCAGGACTTGGGGGTTCAGATAATGATGAGACCTGTGACGACTCGAAGGAATCCGGGACTTCGTGCGCAGAATCGCCAAAACTCGTGACCGCAGCTGGCTCAGTAGACTTAGCCTTCTCCACACGATTTTCCCGCTCCCTGGTCTTCCCATCTCGCACGGCTACAATTTGTGTAGCATTTCCCCTAGTTGTGTTTACAAGTTCGGAAGGTATTGGCGGCGGGCGAACCCCAAGCGACCGTTCATGATCATCCGGAACTCTCGTAGCCGCTTCCTGCACAACTGGAACCCCACCAATATTAAGGACGGGCGCCGCATTCCCCGACTTTACGAGTTCCACGACATGAGATAGTGACCCCAAATCCTCTTCAGTTGCTTCCGAATCGACAGAACCATCTTCGGTCGGCGTTTCGCTTGACCGCTTCCCATTTACAACTCCAGATTTTGTGGACGATTGGTCCTCCACCCTAATCCGCGCACCGAAAGCATGTCGCGCTTCCCTCTCAGTTAAGAGTTCGGGTTCCTGGGAAAGCGTTGGACGATCAAACGCCTGTGAAGGCTTCTCGAGAACAGACGTGGATAGGGGTGTCGCATGACGTGAGATTGCTTTTACAGCAAGATGAGGGGCTAATTGAGCCGCGAACGCCTTTTGAAATCCACCAGGCTCGGGCAGGTATGAAGAATGCGGTGGTAGTGTGGATTCCTGGAAAAAACGACCTCTAGGGAGACAATCAGCAAAAACCAACAGGACCCATAAAAGCCCCAGAATAATCTACCTCTCAATGTCATTCTCCTCGAGAAACCTCTTCTCGCCGTCCTCCATATTTGCGCCCTCATATCGCTCAATTGTCCCCCATGTCTCGACGATATCAGCATTTGGAAAAGGCTTTGTTCTGTCGATGTGGCGACATACTGCGTAGATCTCCTGTAGCTTTCGTTTCCGCGAGACGACGATATTTCTAGAACCAGCGTTAGAAGGAAAAAAATCGTGGCTAGAATTAATACACCCATAATCGCCAATGGAAATCGAGGTCGCGGATCAATAACTATTAATTCCGACCGTAAAAGTGAGGCATGTTTTGTTACTCGATCCCATTCTTTCTTTTTTTTTTTTTTTTCCGGGCTTCATTGTTTTCATTTCAAATTATTTTTTTTTGATAATCACGATACGCGACGTGACATGGCAACGGGCGAACCGTCGGTCGGAAAGGGATACCAAGCGGGAAAAAAGGAGGGACTTTTCATGAACAAAACAATAAAGAGTAACTCACTTTTGCTCCTCTAGCCTCGTGCTCACGGCGTTATTCCGCAGATTCTGTCTAGAAATCTTCTCCACCATGATACAAGCCGGCGCAAGCTGGCATAAACGTATGTACAGCAAAACTCGGGGCTCGCTTAGAACGACTGGCCCGCAGAAAGTCAGCAACATCCACAGACATCGGGATCTCGAGGGCGATGGGGTAAACAGGGGCGGGGAAGGCGATTACCGTGGAGGATTTCTCGATTAAAGGGGTTGTCGAGCAGCAGGTAGCGGTATCTTCTATCACTTGGGATGAGGTGACGTTGAGCGGGGGAGAGGTGGGTTAGGGTTGGGCTCAGGGGGGTTGCAACGGGTCAGCGGTAGAGAGATTTTGGTGAGAGGAGAAAAAAGGTTGGGTACGGGAACACGGTGGGCGCGGTGGAGTGTGAGTGTGTCGAGTGGGAGGCAGGATTTGGTTGGTCGGTCGCGCTGGTCTGTCCGGCTTCTGATGGATGCTTGAAAAAGCTACGCAAAGGGGCAAGGTGGTTGGCTTGGCGAGCTGTTATTGCCCCGATAAGGTTAAGATAGGGGAGGGGCAACAGGAGTTAATGGAAGGGGGAAAAAAAAAATTGGTCTGGGCGAGGAGGGAGCAGGGTGAGAGCTTGGAGGTCGGGAAGGGGGGCGGGGATGAGAACAATCCGATTCTCTGAACCTTTTGTCCTCTTTCAGCAAGGGGGGGGTTGAAAGGGAAAGGGGCCGGAATGAAAAACTGGTTGCTGGGGGAAAGGATTGGAAGCGAAGGTCTGACGGATATAAAGCCACGTTAGTCAGCTTTTCACCCATCAACTACCGACACCATGCCGTCCTCTGCTGTGCGAGTGCTGCAACCGCCAGCCGCTTTCAACCGCATCGAGTTGCTAACATACCGTACGGTGGAAGTGCAGCAGCCCTTCCTCAACCCACCATTTGACTCGGTCTGCAGATCTCAATCACAACCAAGACGATCAATCCAATCACCCACGGACCGCAGGAGCAATATTGATTCCGGTCAACAGGGGGAAATGTCTCAAAAGAAGAATGAATGAGAGAGACGAGAGGAATTTAGAGGCTGTCACTCGACCCGGCCATTTTCTGCGCGGGTGCACTCGAGTACCGTAGACCACTGGTATGGCCCTCGGGCCTTCTCTCCAGTTTTCTCTGTACGAGTATCCGTCGCTAATCTCCCACGTTTTGTGACTGACGTTTCTCTCTCAATCATCCATTGCCGATTCACTTGCCGAGGCGCCCCGATTGCCACCAACTGGGTGACCCGCGCCAAGCACAACAGGTACTAGTACCGTACCGTAGCTCCAAGCGGAGGTCACAGCTGCTCACGCGCGCCGCACCTTGTGACTTGCAGCGAAATCACCTACAAGAGAGAGTAAGAACCCTCGAGATACTCCACCACGACGCCTTGGCGTTATCTGATTCTATGCCTTGGCGCCAAGTTGTGAAGATACCGGTGTTTCCCATAAAATCGATCGGTGTCTGTTTAGGTCCCCCAATTTTCCAGAGATCCTTGGCGGTCGCAATGCGAAACCGGATCTTCTTGGCAATCTCAGAGAATCGCAATCCCGTCCTGTCGTACCTCTGCTGCACACTTCCGGTAGTTTACCGGTCTCCCCTTCTTGGCAGACAATGCCGGCGTTCTTTGAAGGGTCACTGACACAGGGGGGGTTGTCCGTTGTAAATAGCAAGAGCACGATACCCACCGGTCGCCCAAGATCACCAGGCTAGAAGAAGATCAAAAGAATCAGAAGAGTTAAAGGAAAAAAATTCAATTTGGTGTTCCACCTGCTAAAGAAAGAGTCACTCCTCAATTCGCCAAGGTGGGTCCGCTTCTCCTCGATTTTCGGTCCTTCTCTCTCCTCCAAAAGGGTCCCATCAGCCTCCCGAAATAGTACAGCTTCTGCAACAGAAGGCATTCGGGGATCTATAACAATCAGTATGTGTGGAAGGATGACAACTGTCCACACATGACGAGTAGGAATCTCCACATAAGTTAAGACGAACTGCGACGTATGCCGAACAGTACCGTTGTATTAATTTAGTTCTCGTAGAGTACCGGTACCCGTATCCTTGTGCCATCCTTGCAATCTATGGGATCCCAGCTTTACCTCTCTGGAGGTAGAAATTCTACTCGAGTACTCGTAGATATTGCACAGGAGAAAGCGCAACACCAGCCTTCACCCAAGTTTAAGTCCTGACCGCAGAGTCCCCGATCCGGGGTCGCATGCAACATATCCAGCTTATGCCTTTCTAATTACGCAAAATTTAATGATTTTTTTTTTTTATCCCTCGATACCCCGCTAAAAAAACAAATAAAAAAATTAAAAAATTAAAAAAAGCCTACTGGTATGATACTTGTATCAAATTCCGATCTCTCGTTCGTATCCATGGATTGAGGCGGTTCTTACCGCAGTCTCTCTAAACTGCAATAAATCTATCACACCCCGGAGAACCTCATCAAAGTGCTGTAGCACTGTGATACAAATTTATGATACCCCCCCCTCGTACTAGCTTTTTTTGATCACGTGATAATGTCTTGGCGAAAATCTAGACACGTTCAAAATGATCACGGAATAATTTTCTCTATCCCACAATACCAGCACCCCCGATCATCGCCGTCAGGGCAAACATTCACTCAACAACAACCACCAATCCATTCGGTACAATGGTCAGAAGAAAGAGATCTACTCCTTCTACTGCTACTGGCGCTTCTACTTCTGCTCCTAGCAGTACTACCGCCACTCTAGCCGGAACTTCTATTACCCCTCCTCTCCCTCGTGCACCCCAGCAGACTCCCGAATCTTCTCACTCGCCCCTCAATTTTCAGGTGATAACTGGATCCTATGACAAGATCCTTCACGGCTTCATAGTATCAATTCCCTCCTCCCAGTCATCCTCTACCTCCCCCGCATCCCCAACTCCAAAAGAAAATGACGCAATTTCGCTGCCGGCAACCTTTACCGATTCCTTCCTCTTCACCGCTCACACAGCGCCTATTCGCACCCTAACAATCTCGCCACCATCGGCGAACGCTTTGCAGAAGCGTATTCTCGCTACCTCCTCGTCAGACGAGCACATAAACCTTTACACCCTATCGTCCGCCCTGCCACCGATAAACTCTCAAAAACTGAAAAAGGCAACCTCGACTCTAATCGCAAGCAATCCCAAAAACAAAAACCTGGGAATACTGTCTCACCATCTCAACACTCCAACTGCTATAGTGTTCACTCCTAACCGGTCAAAAATTATCACCGCAGGGTTAGATGCTCAGATTCATATTCTCCGAACCCGGGATTGGGCACCGCTATCGATGCTAAAATGCCCGAAACCCAAATCCAGACCAATCAACTATGCAGCCGATTACGGAGATGGATATGGCCCAAGGATCGACGCGTTCAATCCCGAGGCAACCTATGGCGGTGGCGCCGGAGGTGTAAATGATATTGCCCTTCACCCATCTCAAAAGATCCTCCTCTCAGTTGGCAAGAATACACTGCAAGTCCGGATGTGGAACTTGATGACAGGTCGTAAAGCCGGAGTACTGGCCTTAAGCAAAGAAGTTGTTCCCCCGATATTTGGTAGCGAAGGAATGAAGGTAGAATGGAGCAAAACTGGAGAAGAGTATGCAATCGCGTTTGAACGCGGTGTGGTGGTCTTCGGGATGGACTCCAAGCCGAAAAGCCGAATTCGGACAGCACCCATATCCAAGGTTCACCAGATTCGGTACATCGACTTACCTACCGCCATCACGCGGAACAAGAGGGATACTGAGGAGGAGGAAGTACTGGCAATTTCTACCGAGGATGGGAGAGTGTTATTCTATTCCACTACCGATCCAGAATCTCTAGATTCTCCAAACCTGATTGGTTTCCTCGGCGGGAGGTCTATTGGCATGCCTGGCCGGGTGAAAGACTTTAACGTGATTACCGTCAAGGGCAATTTCCACCTCGTCACTGGCGGAACCGATGGGGTGGTGCGAATCTGGGATCTCGGCGGGGGCTCGGAGAAGGACATTCACGAGATGAAAAAGGTTCGGGTCGACGGCGGAGAAGGAAGACAGATTGGTTGCTTGGTCGGAATTTATGAGACTGAGCGCCGGATCACTTGTCTGGGTGTTATGGAGATGGGCGGTGAGGGCATTGAGGAGGAAGAAGATGTTGAAATGAGTGATGGAAGTAGCAGTAGCAGTGGTAGCGAGGGCGATGATGCTGACGAGTAGATATGTAACTTGGATTGTGGGTCGCACTGTATTTTTATTCATAGCCCGTCACTCGGCCTTAATGTAGCTAGTGGATGGGACCTAAGAGAGGGCAAGCTATATTCTAACATGCATCGTTAGGACAGGGCGGTTTAATTACATTAGGAAATCACAACTATATCCCCCCCCCCCGGTGTGGTGATAACTATGAATGATCAATTGTCCACCTCCTCCACTCGCATCATACCATCACTTTCACCCAATCCAGAAACTCACGCTCCACGCACTCGGATGCTTAACCCCGACCCTTCTAACCGTGAGCCAGTCAAACCCTAACCACCGCTCCACCTCCACTCACAACCTCACCGACCCCAACCCCGCGCACCGCCCTCCCCCTAACTACTTACTCCCCGACAAACCTCACCTCACCTCAAGCAGGCCGGACCACCCCAAATCACCCAGAATCACTCGACCAGGTGGAATTCCACGGATAAACTTACATAATATTCTCATTATTATTATCGTTATTATCGTGACGCCCTGTGAAATTGCACAGAATCACAACTCACTGTGAAACGCGCTGGACACTTTAGTCCTAGCTTGTCCTAATGGAGAATGTGAAAGGGGGAAAAAGGGGTTTTTTGTCAGGTTGGAGTACGGTATGGCGAGAGTCCGCGTTTTGGGTCTTGATTTTGTGATGTGATATGATGTTGCGGTTGGGCTGTGGATGGATGGATGGATGGATCATGGATGGATGGAATGTCATGGGTATCTCCTCGTGAGATATGATACTGTGGTATTTTCGGTACTATACTAAGGCGTCGTCTTCCAAGGGCTTTTATAGAACCGCCATTCTCAGATGTGTGCGCGCGGTGAGCTGCGGTGCGTTTGTCGTTGTGAGGAAATTTGGTCGGTTGGTGTGTTAATTACGGGATGTGCCATCCGGCCACTACTGCAACGCTTTTACAGGTTTCTCATACCGAGTGATATCTCGTGAAAGTAGAAGATATTGACTTCTATCTATTATATCGTACATAAGATAATACTACCACACTGTCAAATTTTACATACGGAAACGGCCCGACGCCAACTATGGAAGCTATAGCACAGTGATGCTGATAATCTTCACATCATCCTCCGGCTTCTCCTTGAATGTGCGTACATTCTCGATCTTGTGCACGACGTCCAGCCCTTGCGTGGCTCTTCCGAAGATGGTATGGCGGTTGTCAAGCCAGGGTGTCTTCTCCGTGGTAATGAAGAATTGTGAGCCGTTTGTGTCTACGGACTGTTAGCTAAAACAATATTCGGAGAAAGGGAGGAAGGAAGGAAGGAAGGGACATACTTGGGCCGGCGTTGGCCATGGACAGTGTATACGGCTTATCATGCTTAAGTGTGGAAAACTCGTCCTCAAATTCCCCACTCCAGATCGATTCGCCACCGGTGCCGTCACCGAGTGGATCGCCGCCCTGTATCATAAACTTCTTGATGACACGGTGGAATATGGTTCCGTTGTAATACTGGCTCCTGGCATGCGTGACAAAGTTCTCCACGGTTTTTGGCGCAGCCTCCGGGAATAGTCTTACGTGGATGTCGCCGAGAGAGGTGTGTATTATCGCCGCCTGGCCGCTTTCCTGCTTTGCCGTTGCAGCGGCGGGGCCAGCGCTCGCCTGGCTCGCCTGGATTGGCTTCTCGTTTAGGACATCGCGCTCGGACTTTGAAGCGTTGGAGTCGTTGGTGAAGATATAGAAGCGAGGTTTTTGATAGGCTGTGCAGATGATCATAGGGTCTCGTTCGGCGGATTCGTTGAGAAGCGGGTTCGCGGATGCGGCCATTTCTACGGTCATTAGGGTTTTCTTCTTCGGGGCGCCTTGATAGATTGCTAGGTGCATTGGCCGGATTCCTTCTTCGGCCGAGAGGAGACGAGGTAGGCTATTTGTGGTCGTGTTTAGGATTTTAATACCCGCGAGGGATCCGTAGATTATAAAGTAGCCGGATTCGTCAAAGATTATGTTTTGTTTTGTGAGGGAGGACAACGAGGTTAGGTCGGTTTCTATAGCTATGCGACGGCCGAATTCTAGATCAGGGAGCTTTCGTTCTGAGGAGGCTGCTTGCTGGATTGTGGTCAGGGTGCTGATAGACTCGTCGTATGTTCTGTGGAGCTTTGCCGAGGAGAAGTCGAAGACGCGGATTTGGCGGTCTGGAAGCGAGAACGTAGCGAATTGTTCAAAGGTTGGGGATATCGTTAGTGAGGAAGGTACTGATTTGGCCCTCTTGAAGTCCAGGAGGTTGGTATCGGATTTGTACACGAAAAGTGAGGATGGCTTTTCAAATTCACGTTCGGAATGTGGGCTCCAGTATTCTATCATTCCACCTTCATCACACGACACCACAGTGTCGTACTTGTCATTGAAAGACATTAGATGAACGATAGATCTATGGAGTTTCGGTAATGTCGCGAGAACAGTCATACCCTCTGGCCGGCCGTCGTAGATATTAATCGCTGTAGTCTCAGTGTCTGAAATCGCTAGCAGTGGCAATGAAGATCCGCGTTTATGGACCCAACAGATGGCTCGTGGGGTATTTGGCAGCGTAAGAGTTGTCAAAAGATCTGAACCCTCCCTGTCAGCACTGACCCTTTAAGCCCACTGGAAAGGTAGAACGCACCGAAAGTATCCACGTCAAAAACCGCAACCCTATTGTCAGCTCCGGCCGTGGCAAAGCATCGTCCATCGGTGCTAGCACTGACGCTCACAATATCCGCTGTGTGTGCGCGGAACATCTTCACGAACTCAATCCCCACAGCCACCTTCTTCCAGAACTTGACAACACCATCCACACTTGCTGTAATCAGAAAATCCGTAAACGGTGTCATTGTCACGAAGCTAAGGTTATCTCGGTGCATCAAGGACTTGGAGTATCGCGGCGAGGATGGTATTGCCGAGAGGTAGAGTTTCTCATGGGGAAGGGCTCGTCGCTTCTTCTTCTTTTTTGACCCACCGGCTGGGGGCAAGGCGGGCCCTATGTCTTCGTCCGAGGAAGTCTCTGGGGCGAGGTCAGTTACGGAAATCTATGCTCAGGGATCGGGGGAGAGATATCGTACCCACGGCATCCTTTGGAGTCCGGGCGGGTGAGGGTCGTGGCGGAGGCGCATCGCTGATACATCTCTTTCGCTTATTCAGGCTGGAGGGACCCTCCCCCGCGGAATCTCTGTCGGACATTATTTGTTGTTGAGGCTGCGGTGGTGGAGTTATTTGTGTTTGGAGATTTAGACACAGTAAAAGGGTCAAGGTGTTGTTTTTGTGGCTAGTTTGTTTAGCTTTCTTCTTCAGCCTCACAAGAATTTTTTTAAGCCTCAACTTCAGTACAGCAAAGGTTCAAGAATCAACTCGAGTCGCTGCTAAGCCTCCACCTCCGAAATCCTTAACGACCGCAATGGCAAGTTCTTTGGAACTACAGCTAATCCCCCAAATAAACATCGCTAATCGCAAATCTAGGCACGAGAAAACCCCTCAAAGCGCGTTTCGCTGCGTAATAAGGCTTCCGTCTCCCGCCCCCTCCCCTCCATGCGCCCCACGATCCCGCTCCAAGTCAAAAAGAAAACCAGGCAGAGCATGAAACACTCACTATTTATCAATAAAATCGAAAAGTCCTCTGCTCCATCTGCTCGGTCTCGCCGACGAAAGGCGAAAGCTGCGCAAAACTCCCTCATCACTGGGCTCGAGTCTCTCGCTGATGCGCTTCCCTCTGGAGCCCTCGATGGGTCGATAAATTTTACACCGGCCAGTAGTAAAGCGACGGGCAAAGGCAGAGAGGAGGGGGTTGGGAGAAAGAGTATGAAGTCCCGACCTGGCGCTATGAAAAGGAAGGAGGGGGTTGTGAAGAGTGAGTGTGAGCGGTTTGGGAAGAATCTTGCCATCATGCAGACCGGAGCTATCGCTGGGGCTACAGAAAGAGGAGGAGGGACATGGGCTGCCTTGAGAGGGTTTATTGAGGGGACCATGGAGAAGAAGGAGGAGTTTGTTAAGACAGACTAAGATGGAAATTGGGAATGAGCCTCTTGGAGCTATATAGTCATTCCATTTGGTACTAAAAGTTTGGTAGTAGTAGTTATTTGTTTCGGGGGTTGCGAATAATGGAAACACAATAGAAGTCTGCGGTAGTCTCTGCCACTCTATGCGGCGCGGTGGCCGGTGCCCAGAAAGGTCATATAAATATCCCAACTAAACCCCGCGATTGCACTCAGATAACCCGTCCGGAGAAATACTCAATTCGGAATCTCCTCAAGATAATATTCGGTGTCGGCGGCGAAAGCGCACATTCCAGCCATCCCGGAACAGCATTAGTAAAAAGGGCAGATTGACCAAAGAGCCAAGCCATCCAGCTCCAGCGCAACTATGGAAAAATAAAGTATCGTGCGCCTTGCCCTTGTTTGATAATAATGCCCCTACAACTCTGATAGGAAGGGCTAAAGGGCAAAAATAACGACCGAAGACGGACTCGAACCGTCAACCTCAACCTTAGGAGGGCTGCGCGCTACCATTGCGCCATCCGGCCAGTCCTTAGTTTGTTCCGGGAAATTAGCTTGTGGATGCCTGGTCAATTGAAGGCATGGGCATGAGGTTTGCTTGTGTTGGAAAAAGATTACACTAGGGTTTGACCAGTATGAATCGGCTCACTAGAACCTGAGGGTTGCTAGTGAAACCTAGGGCTATGCGAGAATTCATTGTGGTGCGCAAGCTCTCTAGGTTTAAACTTGTCGGTATGATACGTGTCTATTGCTAGGGGGGGGGTATGATATAACCCTTCCTGGATCTCTAAGGTTTTTTTTCGTAAGACAAAGGAAGGAAGAACCCTCACAGGTTGTACAATTACCTGACATCCTGGGATATGTGTAGATCCGGGAACAGGAAATACAGAGACTCCAAACAAATAGTAAGGGTATATATATATAACAGAGACCCATGATCTTTAGCTTATTCACTTTTGTTGGCATAGATTGCACTAGTAGTTGGGGGAGTAGGATAAGAGGGGTGTGCGGGCTCGCTAAAGCCTGGCCCGGCCCGTGGTGCCTCATATGCTAGGGTAAAAATATGACTAGACCTATCTTTTCTATCATGCCCGATTATCAACACTACTCTCAATGGTATCCATCCAGGGGGTAGGTCTATATATCATAATGCGGCTAGTCTCACTGCTTCTTTAGGATAATGTTCAATTTTCAGAGACAATAGAGCGTTCAGAGAAATCCAATATCATGAAAGCATAATATTAAACTAACTTTAAGTTCATAAGGAGCGCAAATATGTAAACTAACACTATCTCTTAAAACCTGGCCTCGTACCAACTTCTTTTTTTAAAAAAGCCCGCGGGCCGCTGTAAAGCCCACGGGGCTTTGGAAGACCATGACCCATGCAGCACCAGCCTACGGGCGTTTGAAAGCCCACGGCCTGGCCTGGCCTATGCCAAGCACTGGTGTGGACGATCCTCCTGCTAGTGTGGACACTAAAGACACCTCACGAAATTTACTCCATTTTATTCCCTCTCCTATAATTTACTTTATTTAATTGCTTTTTTCTGGAAGGAAGTGGAGAGGGGGCTGTCCGCAGGATCTCACGGTACCTAAAGCGGTGCTTGGTTTGATTGATGTTCTCCACTCTATCGGGTAACCCATCGGGATATGATAAGGCAGCTACCTCTCGGCGCGCTGCTGGAACCCTCTCGAACATTTGGTCGAATTTGGGAAGGGGGGGAAACATTGCTTCATTGCAGTGGCGAGTGACTATTGGTGAGCGAGTCGCAGGTAGTGTTCCGTTTCGCTTGAGGAACAGGGTTGGGCTCCTTACAATCGTCCGGGTGTTTGACGGATCAGAGAGGGTGAGGATGCTCTGGTGGGAAAGGGGAAAGTTGTAGGCAGTCATCCTTTATTATAGAGAATTGGAGTAAGTATAGTGAGTGACCTGGTAGTGCCAACAAGCATGGTTATCATAGTATAGTCCTAGGACCTAAGCTTATCCTGAGTCCCCGGAGTGTTGGGTTACATGCAGTTTATGGAACCTCTCTACTAAATGAAGTTATCAACATGTACTGTGATATAATATGATACATTCAAGCACTCTATTGCGTCGGAATCTAGTACATATCATTGCCCCAGCCAAAAAAACCGAACATTACTCACACATCTTTGCCAAGAATACCTTCCGTGGGCCGAATATTTGGTGAGGACTTCCGCAAAATATCGGCTGGCGGAGGTATTCTTGGCAAAGATGCGTGAGTACATGGATAGAAAATATCAAAGAATCTAGACATCACCAGTACCGACATCATTAAAGTCAATCATCATTTTACACCCAGGTTTCTAAAAGCACCCAAAAAGTACCGACACGCCACCCATCCCCACCCCAACCAATCCCGCCCTCCAATCAACTGCCAACCTCCTCCCAGCGCTGCTCTCCTCCCCACTATTGTCACTCTCTCCCTCAGGCTCCACACTCCTCCCTTGCTCCCGAACATTCTGCGCAAACGCACCTTGTACGTTTCCCGGCGGCCAGTATTCGCAAGTGAGGTACCAACTATCCTGCCCATTGACGAGTAAACCCTCGCACTCGACGGCAGCACAACCAACAGACCTCGTCGCGTTCCAAACCATCTGCGTGAAGTGACCAGTCTCCTCCGAAAACTGTGCCCGGGAGAAGTCATAAATCTCACGCTCGTTGCCCCAGGCATCCACCGCAGCTGTGGCGTTAAGGTATCCCGCTGCTAGGTTTTCGCCATACGCGGCGCCCTAGTGGCTGTCAGTATTACAGTTAAGGTAGGAGGAGAGAAGAGGAATGGGGTGGGGAGGTGGGGGGCTACGGAGTGCTCGAAGACGCATTTTTTCGTGTAGTCTCTTGCAAAGTCCTCTAAAGAATTGTTCCAGCTGAGTGGTGCGGAGCCGTGTTCTGCCCTCCAGCGGTTATGAGCAGTTAATACGTCACGCTCGAGCCGGGAGGTGTTGGTGTAGGATTCCGTGTCCACTTGAACTTGTGCGAGGGTCGTTCCCGCAGCGAATACCGCTAGGAGGAATATTGTTATGCGCATTTTCGTACTGTATATTCTGACCGGGGGGAGAAGGAGAGGGAAGAAGGAATATAGTATTTATTTTACCTCAGAAGGCTGTATTCTTTTATACTCCCGGCCTACATACCCAAATCCAACCCTGTACTACTGCGAGTGAAGTACGTATGTATCAACGATCTCGGCTCGGGATTATTGACCAGCCCATGTAACGGACCTTGTCTTGGCTGACGCGCGTTTAGTTATCGGCGGTGGCTAATGATGCTGTGGAAACTGGAATAATTGGACCGAGCGCCACCGTTAGTAACCTCCTCCGGTAAGGTTTGGTGCTATTTTGTTTTTTCATCCCTCCCTCGAGGGCTGAGCGGCTCGTCTTTTGCTGTGTTTTTCGCTCCTTCCAGTATGATGCCGGCATGGAGCTTTCGACTACAGAACACGTGATACAGGTACTGTGCTGGTCGTATCATACGGGTAGACTATTAGGTTTCTTCGATAACCTAATACCGGTAGGGTCGTAACTGGTAGCCAAGCGGGGCGGAGCCATAACGATACTTTACTGATACTAGGTCCTTTTCCATCCCAGTTACTGCCAGAAAAGCCGCTCTTTCGGAGATAAGCGCTTCCTGCGCCGCTGCCACAGCAACACTCCCCGCGGCGCTGTTGTGGCGAGCCATGGAAGACGGAGGGGATACTCACAGGACAGGTTTAGTTTAACGGGTGAGCGGGGTTGCGAAAACGGGTTTACGTTCTTTTTTAGTTGATCTCATACTGTGTCATAAAGACATGACGGCAATAGACTAGGGACTTTGTGAAAAGACTCCGGATGCGGGTCAAACAGGGTTCTGGGCCAATGAGATCGCTAGAATTTGACTCTGGATGCGAAATCACAAAGTCTCTAATAATGTTACTTCCTAAGCCTTCCCGTCGCTGAATCCGGGGATTGTAGGGCTGGCGGAGATAGCGAATTTTAAGAGCTTTCTCCGTGCGTTTAAATCTCGTGCGGACCTCGTAAGCTTTGGCCTGCGCAGCCCTTGTGGAATGAACGAAAGTGCAATCATCGGAGGGGGCTCCGGCTTGCTTTTGTGGGATAACTTGGGCGGTGTTTTTTTTTTTTGGGGGGGGGGGTTGCCTTTCGGGTGCCAAGTCTCGGGTGGGTCTGCCTAGATTTTGATCATAATATTACTAGTGACTTCTATCTTGCGTACTGCGTTCCTGACCAATTATCTAGACAGCTAAAGTATGTACTCCGCTGAAATCAGAATTTAATTCTCTCTATACTAGTATGTCCTTATAGTGCTAAAACAGTACCCCAAAGTAGATACTAACAGTTACTAAGTATTCATATCATATAAACTTCATACTAGCACTATGATATATTTTTATACAGAGTTATCAAGATCATACTAAGCACAATATTTAAACAAAAGCAAACAGGTAATAGTGATACCTGTATGAGGAATTAAAATTATCTGAGAATGAGACAGATTTATCACTATATCCACAGAATAATCTTAATAGACTAGCATTTCAAAAATAAAAATTATTAATTCTATCTAATTCTATTCCAGAATCTAAACTAGTAGTATATATATGTAACCTGTACTACTAAGCACATGAGTTATAGAAATTCAACTCAGTGAGTAATATAGTATAGGCTTCTCCTTCAGAGATTGATGTAAAGCCAACAACTTTAACCATGAAAATATAGTATCATGATAACTCTTCAAATAATACAAACTTGAAGAAAATAAATAGAAAAGAGAAAGGAGGAATTACTTACTTATTTTCTGCCTTCTCATCTTGCTTCAAGTTCCCAACTCTCCACCCCATCGGTGGGAAGTGTTCTGGCTTTAATTAGAGGTCTTTATCTCCTACCATCTCTATAGGAATTGATATAGTATTTAAGAAACTGCCATGTAGTAAGAATTGCTGAGAGAGGCTGGGATAGTAATATATTTTCACCAGCCTCCTATTTGGTGATTCCATGTTGGAGTGCTTCAAGTTAGCACTTTTTAGTATTATTATCTGAAATCTAATTAGTATTATATTTTTTCAAATATTGAATTTATTAATAATAAACTTGAACAAACCTGGTAGAATTTTCAATCTCAGGACCATTCCTCCACCTCCAGGTTTTAGCTAGGATGAAATGCTCTCTTTGCCTTATTATCTGAGTCTTTCTTAATAACTGGAGAACTATTGGGGGTAAGGATTCCTGCTGGAAAACAAAATAATATGTTTCAATAAACCTTTTTGAGAAACACACTGGCAAATCTTTCTTTGTTGTGTATAGTGATCTGGATTCCGAGTGCTGTATCCTGATTCAATTATATGGATAATTAAATTTCAACTATACTATCAGTTATCTTTTTAAGATCTTATGGACTTGATAATATATAGTAATACCTGTCTCATATTGGCGTTCTCGGCTTGGAACCTTCTTTATAGGTTCCTGCTTTAAATTTATATCATATTAGCTATATTAATATAATTCTTCATCAAACAGAAAATGTAAGTGGAGTTTAAATATACCATGTATTGTAAATTTAAAATAGTTTTTCTGTTTTCACTATTTCACTTAGCAGTATTAGTAAAGTGACAGTAAGCTGTGAGAAAAACAGAAAAATATGAAGAATTGCATGTGCAAAGGTAGTTTTAAAGGTAGGTGGTTGTTGATGAGGTGGGGGAGAAAAGGTGGGGGGAGGCCTCCTTATATAGACTTTGTGGCCAGGAAGAAAACTTTTCCTCCATAGTATGATGGTGAGGGGTTAGGGTTCATAATCAGAAATATTGTTAAAGGTTTACTACCACCTTTATAGGATGACATCATATACTAGTAACAAGCCCTCGAGGTCTCTAGAAGGGGAGGGGGTTTGCTAGTAAGGGTAGTTGTTGCTTTCCAGTTGCTTGGTATGTAAGTATATTTGGTGTTTCCCGGTGCATTGCTCGTATCCTGGCACGTGTGCTCACATCACCGGTTGTTTTGAAAGCTCTTGTTTTATATAATAAGATTATGCAAAAAAAAAAAAAAAAGCGTCAGACGCCAGGGACCTTAGGCTCGGAAAACTTGTGCAAACGGTCTTCAACCGCCGAGCTGAATCCCTCTATGTGTAGGGTTGGCGTTTTTTTTGTGCAGTTGTGCGTGTTTTGCGCTTCCTTTGGAGGCCTCTGGGGTGTTTGGTGTGGGTATACCGATCTTGAACTCACTTCATAGGAGCTAGGAGGGATTAGGTAGTTGCCCATGGATGTGCATGTTTCTTTGGAGGGTAGCTGTTGGTCAATTTTACTGGTGTTATCGATTGTAGCTAGTATTTCTTTTTTTTGAAAGGAACCTAACAAGACACATCTACTAGACAGAACAGTTCTGCGAGGTCCGGGTGTGAATTGAGGAGCTCTGGGGTATCTGAATAGATGACCACCTAATTTCCCACCTTTCATCGGCTCTAGGGAATCCCCCTAAACAGATGTTTCGGTATAGCACTCGATAATCCATCTTCCACAACTCTCTAGAAGAAACTCTAACTTGGGTAGAGAGATGTTGGTGCGGGAAAACTAGACAGGTCGAGCCTAACACTGCTCTCGCATGCTCCTGAGAAGGTGTTTGAGGGAGTGGGGGGGTTCCTGCTTGAACAGGGAAATATCTGCCCTTTGGTTTGGATGTCAGAGGGTGAAAACCACTCTATTATACCGCTCCGTATGTGTATGAGGGAGTGGCGGGGTTATTCCGCGCCCATATAGCGACAATTTAGCTAAATCGGTCCGAGATGCAGGGGCATAAGTGTTCTTTGCGGTCTCGAACAAAGATATGCACTGCCTTCGGGAAACCCTTATTGGTTAACCTGGTTCTGCGACTGTCGGCCCCTCCGAATCTCGTGATCCTCATCATGCAGACATCGCTACCCTCACTTCTAATTTAGGTTCTTTTGAAATGCTTTTTTCTTTTCTTTTTTTGTTAAAGGGAAAAAAAATTGACCTTTGGTGGGGTTGGCTGAGGCATCCGTGGGGATTCATATAATATTATGTTATATTATGCCTTCCCGACCGTCTTGGGTTTTCTTTTGTGCAGTCGAGTTGGGCTTGCGGATCTATGTGTGTTTCCTAGGGTTGGTAGTGGTTAGGGGGAGGAGGGGGGAGATTCCATTACGTGCTTGACTTCCGTTATCGTTGTTGTGTTCCGCTTTGTCATGATTTTCCGATTATAGATCATGCCCTTTGTTATGATTTTCTTTTCTTTCTACAGTTTATTTCTCTCCTCTGGCTAATGATAGATGCCTTGCATGCTAAGTATTAGCTAGATTGGAGGGGCTAAGTCCCAGGACTTGCCATGTTTCTGGAAAGATGTATCATGCTGGTACTGGTAGTTGGAAAATTCTTGAAGAAAATAAATGTCATGATACTAACTGTGATGTCTGGATGTTAATTCCAGGTGTTTGTCTGGAAGAATGTGAAATGATGAGCAAGACGGTTGACAAGGACACAAGGTAAGCGTAGACTGGGAAATGTATGGTATATCTACCTGAAGAGCTATCAACCATAGAAATCAATCACACGGAACTCTACAAAAACAGAAGAGGGAAAGAACCCTGGGAAAACACCCCGGAAATGATAGGAACTGAGCAGAACCACCAAGAAAGTAAAGTAATGGTCTGTTATCATCCAGTGAGAATCCACAAGGATGGTGGAAAATAAGTCTTGACCCTGAGCACCGTTGGGTGCGAAAGAGCCTTATACTCTCTCGCCGCATAGGCAATCTTACAGTTCGCATTTGTGCCCCGGAGCCTTGATCTTAAGCTGATACTATAACTTGAGTCTGAAAGGGAATATATTATATTGAACGAGGCTGCCGCTGGATGGATGACAAGAGGGTTTTTCTTTTGCGTTTTCTATAGATGTATTGTGTGTGCTGACCACCTACGCTAGGGTGGGTGGTTCAGTAGATGGGTATACACGCTTATGTGTCTGGGTTGGGGTCACCATTGGCCCGTGTTATATTTCAGGGCAGCCTTGACTAGTGGACCGTTGGATGGAAGTGAGCTCTCATAGTGCAATTATGTTGCAATGGTATTATTATCATGCTTATTTTTTGTCCATGTTTACCACGGTGGGATGAATAGGGTTCTACCGGTGGTGGCGCCATAGTTTGGATTCCGCATGGACGTGGTGAACGAATGATAAGGTGGTATCATATGATACTGCACTCGAGCCCGGTCTATAGGGCTGATGCCTGACTTAGTCTCTTGCCAAAGTGCAAGTATCATACCAGGACAAAAATTCCGGTGGATGACCTTTTTACACTAACAATAAACAATCTTTACCCCCCACAAACCAACTCAGAACGAATCTCGGTCTTTATTTACAGAGCGTTGGACCACTGAGGGAGAAATATCGAGGACAGTTTCCAACCGAGTAAAGCGGGAGATGGGATTGAGAGGACGCTGGTGAAGTGGGAGGAAAAATGGTTGTCAAGTGCATTACTGTGCCGCACCTTTTATGCAGTAGGTAGTACCCAGATTTCACTGCACCATAACTAGGAATAAAATAGACCGAGTTATCATACCAGGCGCCTGATCCACCAGTGTTGAAAATGGGGCAATGATAATCTTTTCCTCGAGCCTCTCGTAGCTCTCCGAGGTTTCTTGCACTGTACAGTACCGCGTAGGGGTTGTGTTGAGTTGTGAGTTTACTTTTCCGGGCAGGGCCACTAGCTGGGGGATCTGTGCCACTCCACCCCCGTGCCAAAAAAAGTGGACAGCTTATGGGGATTACGCAGCGCTCAAGGAACCTTGATACTAAGCTGATTCTCCTGGCCCCTAGAGATATCGGGCTTGGTGTTCAGAGGACAGGATTAACGAATAAGCGCGGTTCGTTTTCCTACGTTCTTTCATTTTTTCTGTTTTCTGTTAGTCTATCGCCTTGCATGAAGTCACTCGAGGCGGCTTATTCCGGCGGGGTACGGTAATTGTTCCCGGAGAACACACTGCACTCCCCATCATTTTTTTTTCTCTTACATAGCAAGGGGCTGCTAACGGACGGTATGGCACATGATTCGCACCATCAGGCGTTTTACTCGAGCACGCCCTGACTTCTTCCGTTTCACACTGACTGTACGGATGCTGCAGCGCCCCCGTCCTACGGTAACATCCATGTTGTGTTTCCAAGGAAGACGTTTCGTCACGGGCGATCACCCAACACCGTGACTACTTCTAGTTCCTTGGCAATCCCCCCTGTCCGATAGCCTTGGGCACCATGTCTCAATCCAACACTCATTCGGTCGGGTGTCATGGTGAGGCCTTCCCATTCGGATCAACCACCAGGCGCGGAAAGCAGAAGGACTCGGGCGAAGTGGAAATATCCGCAGAATGGCGTTGGATCGATTGGGTTAGAAATCCAACAATAGAAGAGATTGGATTGATGCCTCCCAGGCTGGCAGTGCGAGTAGGCTAACTGACGTGTAATCGCACTTCCATCCATCCCTCGAGCTCCTTGGGTGTGTTACACAAACAACCCAAACTCAAATCAAACGCTTTCTCAACTGCTGCGCCTCGAAGCCCTAATCTGCGGCAGTCTCCAATCAGCCTTTATGTAGATCATGCTATCCGCATTGTGCTGCGACATGACCGTACCAGTATTTGTTCCCCGGATTCGATGGAAATACCATCACCATCTCGCCAATCCCCCACCCCACACTGAGTGTCCTTCCTTAACTCTATTCCGACCTCCCTTCTTCGCGAACTGGTCACCCCGACCGACCGACTGACCGAGAATAACCATAGTCGGAATGTCACTCCTGGACCTCCCAAACGAACTCCTGCTCCAGATAGCCCAGGATTTCACACACCAAGACCTAGCCCACCTCCTCCTCGCCAACCGCAGAACAGCATATCTCTTCCAGCACTTGCTCGACCGTCTAGCCCTCGATCCAAAGGACAACCTGACGGCCCTACAGTGGGCCTGCTCCCGCGGACACCTCCCCCTCGCGAAACTCCTAATAAATTGTGGCTTTGATGTCAACGAGCGATGCCAGACCCTCGGCCGCAGACCGTTACACTTTGCCGTCGCAGCGAATAGCGAGGGGATAGTTGAAATGCTTCTGACTGCAGGAGCGGAGCCGAACCTTAAGAACAACGCCGGCAGCACACCACTGCATTGGTCCGCACTCTGCGGATCATACGGTATGAGCGCTCGCTTACTGGCGAAAGGTGCTGGTGCGGGGATCAAGAACTCGGAGTGGATGACGCCGCTCCACTGCGCTTTGGAAAACGCTGTCGAAGCGCTGGCTCAACTGGTCACGGAACAGGGCATCGAGGCGCCCATCGACGTGGATACCACCACACTCCTGGTCCCCAACGAGGAGTACCTGCGCCGGAGAGAGGTGGTCAAGCTCATTCTTGAGAATAAGCCATGGCTGGACGCGCAGGATAAGGCGGGCCTTACGGCGCTGCATTACGCGGCGAAGAGCGGAAGGACAAGGGTTGTTAAGTGGCTACTGGAGAGAGGCGCGGATGCATATGTCCGCGATGGGAACGGGTCCACTGCCCTTGAAGTCGCGAAGATTATCGGCCACACGAAGGTGGTGGGGATTTTGAAAGAGCATTATGAGAAAGACCGGGAGCCGTTGTGGAGTGTGTTTGTTGGAAACGTGTTGGGGGTTATTGGGATTGGGGAGTAGTGGTTGATAGGGTCTGGATTGGGGTTTTCTCTGTTACTTTCCGGATGTGGGGGATTAGGGGATACTGTTTATGGGAGCTGCGATGCAGTTCTTGTGGAGGGTAGTGCGTTGTTCCGATATAACGAATTACTTCCACTTGGGTAATTCGACCCTTTTCTTCCTCTTCGGCGTATAATCTCCACCTCTCTTATTTCATCACCGGCCTTCATCGGAGAAGGGGGGGGGGGGGGATGGGCAGACTCACGCATCACATATACGGCATCCGGGGATTTCCTTCAACCTCCCCAGCCGATGATGTGAGCCAGCTTTTTGCACTCTGTATATAATTTACTGAAGGGCATGGAATTTATTCATTCAGTTGATCCCCCGGTGGCGCTTCTGGGTCGCAGGAACAGAGAAATCTCTGTCTGGGGGCCTTCCGTGAAGGGGTGGGTCCTCGGGGAAACGCGAATCAAAGCCTGCTAATATTTTAAAGGGTCCAAAAAGCCACACTGCAATACCAACACTACTCTGCACTGCTCTTCCGGTCTCTATACGGGTACTATCCTACCACGGCCCCCCCCAAACAAATTCCCCTATTCTGTTATTGGATATATGTGGGCTACTACGCACTAGAGCCTGTTGGCATCGAATTTTTTCTTTCTTGTATAGTGCTAGAAGCGATGGAGGGGAAGTGTGTGACACCACTTGCCACGGGAGGGTTTGCATGGGTATCTTGCACCCATTGCGGCTCTGGGCTTCGGGATGGTGTGGTTAGCTGCCCTCGACCAATTGGAAAAGTCAAGGTGGGGAAGGGGATTACACTCTTGCCCACCACGGCCTCTGGTACCATACGAATATTTGTTTCATTCCTTCATTTCCTTCCTCGCTTGCTCCTTACCTTTAATACAACCCTATTCTGAACTCGACTCCACACCCCTTCCGTGTATCATACTTGTCGCACCCGACTCTTATCTCTACCCCTCAATCCACCGCATTCCGCGTAATCTTCGTTCTGATCGTTTCCTTTCCTCCCGATATTTTCAACATTTTCTGTTGAATATATGAGACCGGTTACGTACAGGGTTGGGAAAATTCACAGATATACGCGACTGTTTATGTACCTCTGATACCTGGCACTCAAGATACCTGGCACTCAAGACTGCGCCTCATGTTTGCTTTCTCTTCCCTTGTTTCCCTTCTTCCTCTCAGTATAACTCTTATGAAGGTCAATCCGAATCCTTCATCAACTTCCCACCAATTCACACTCTTCCCTTTTCTCAGCTCTCTCTTCTTTCTTTTGACTCGTAGCCGATAAGCTCAATTCCATTCACACCCTTTTCTCACCGTCCTCCTCCGGTTCCGTAAAACCCTCGTAACAATCATTGACATTACCATTCGATCAACCACCCTTTCCAACCTCCTCGTCAAATAGCTGGCGAGTGACGATCCATGACTATAGTCTCTAACGTTCATCTCTACCGAAGCTAACACCCTCTTTGGACAATTGACGAACCCCCCACCAAATGGCCTGACTGCCAGGACCCGCCTACTCAACCGAACCGTACTGTACAAACATGGTTATGGTAGCTGGAAATGTACAAGTATCACTTAGCAGAGCGCTTTCCGTCGGTCATGGAAAAAAAAAAAAAAAAAAAGTTTAGCTATCGCTACCCAACAGCGAGGAGAACCCCATCAAGTATTTTGCTACTATCTCACAGGACCCGCCCGGCAGAGCTCAGGAGCTCGGTTCCCTAACTTGACAGGCAATTCATTTACTACCTCTCCACGTTAGAAAAAGTGGTAACAGCAATAGTCTCCTCGCAGGCCATTCCGCGCTGATGGTAATGAACTTCCGCGATGCTTTAACCTCAGCCGACTGGCGGCGCGCGGGGATGGATCGTTTGGTCGGGGCTTGTTTGTGACAGGGAAACGTCTAGCAGATGTTGGAATTTCGGCGGGTGGTTGACGTGTTTTAGTGGTGATATTCCGCTGGGACTTTTATAAGTGAGTGGTCTGTTATATCTACTGTAGGCAGTGAGGGTGATAGGCTGGTGTGGTACTAGGGATGGCTATTCTCGTTGGATAAGTATCCGGTAGCGGTGTGGGGGAGGCTGGTTGTTACTCGGTACGATAGTGGGAGTGCATGGATGTACATGACTGTCGCGCGCGATGGAATTGAATATTTGTTTCCTTCATTCTTTTCCTTCATCGCTGTGCTCTTCGTCCATTTGGTTCCTTTCTTGTCACATTGGGCTCTCAGCGATGTGTGTAATACTTGTTATAATACCTTCAACAACTCTCTCCTCTTAGAGGACAGCTTTTTCTGATCATTACCTTTTCCCGCATTTTTTCAAAAGTATGGCGGCGAGGGGGTGAGTGGATGGTGAGTGATCTTTCATGAATTTTTGTCTCGTGATGTATCATTCTTCTGTGTAAACCCTCACATGCACCCGGCCCACACTGTTTATGGAAATAATATACGATACAGCCTTCTACACGCATCGGGTATCTAAAGCTAAATATAACTTGTATATCTCCAACATCGAAAACTCTATTTCCCCCCGTGATCTGGTGAAAGAAAGGGAGCTGTTCTTGAAAGCGTAATCATGCTTCCCGTCCCAGCATAAACCTCTCCAAACACCGGCTTCCCGACCTCCTCACTACTTGAGAATGTCAAATGCCTCATCCCCGGGTCTGGCACGGTCCCCACATCCCCCCAGCGCACTTTCTTCCCTATAATAACCTCGGGATCCTCTCCCCTGGTGTGGCACGCTGCTGAAATCGCGGCGGAGCAACTCTGGACGGTAGTAATCTCGGCAGAAAACCGCCTATACCCCATCCCGGCGGCAGCCAGCAGGGCAAGAATCCCCAGTATGAGCACGAAAATGATGGCAATGCAGGAGTACCCCACACCACTTATCGTTGATGAGATCTCACCCCCGAGAGGGTCCGATATCTCAACGCTCGCGAGGAATATCGATTGCGAGGTCAACCAGTGGAGGAGACCGCTCAGGGTCATTAGAGGGATGGCGTAGGTGTAGGGTATTTGAAGCCAGTATGTGGATCGTTGCCCTGGGCGCGGGGATGTGACGCGTAGGGTACGGTGGTGGTGACTGAAGAGGGACCATTCGTGGCCCGAGAGCATGCAGGTGAAGAGGGAGTTGTAGGCCAGGTACAGGAACGAGAGGATTGTTTGTGGAAGGTTGGCTAGGAGGGTAGCCTCGGTTATATTCCTAAAGTCAAGGGCGACTAAGGAGAGGCTGTTCACTTTGCCGAAGCCTCTAGTCCACCTTTTTGTCTTTGTTAATATTATTTGTGAAAGGGATGTGATGGGAGAGGGGGAAACTTGCATTGATGTAATGTCGGTCTGCAAGTATGCGCTGTCGTTGACCATCCCAGATTGAAATGACCACCCAGCGGCAATGACAACCATCAAGCAGAAAAAATTACAAGTAACCCATCTTGTCCTGCTAACACTAGTCCACCACCTCTGTACCCCCTTGACTTTCCACTGCTCCGGGATAGTCCTCACCCCACTCATCCACTCTCTCTTGATAAACCTCTTGTCGGCAAAGCACATCCCCATTGTTGTCTGGTCCGGTACTCTCAAAAAGGAATCTAGAGCATCACCTAAAGTGACTAGCGTGGGCTCACGGGATCTCGCGACCGCCATGACCATACAGCAAGCTTTAATGAGATTGCAGCAGATAACGACGATCATGATTCCTAACGAGAACTGCACCTTGCACTTCTCCGGTGTCTTCTCGCTCTTGCATCCGCTTATTTCTACATCATTCCGTCGCTCAACACCCACCCGCCAAGGTAGCCCTTTTGCTGTTTTCGAGGCTATATCCTTGGGTTCGCACCAGTGAGAGCCCGAAACATTGCTTAGGAAGTCGATGTGGGAGTGGCACATCCAGTTACTGGACGGGATACCACGGACCCTGACCTTGATCATTCCGAGGAGGGTGTTATTGTGAGCGGTATTAGAACTATGTTTGGTGATCAGGAATAGGTTTCGATGGTTGGACATGAGGTCAGTGTTGTAGAGTTTTGCGCATTTAGCAGGTGCCAGGTCTTCATAGCTCTGTGGGTTTTTATTGTATCCCTCGAGCACGTCGCCCCACAACCGGATATCATACCCGCCCGCGAAATCCTTCGGCCGGTCTGTCTCGTTGTGCACCTCCCGGTAAGTCGCTAATAGAGCTTCGGTCATATTGGAGTAGGTAGGTTGTTCAAAGTGGTTGTTTGTCACAACAGTCACGATGAAATCATTCCCTGCTAATGTAGTATACACTGCAGAATTGTACCTGCAGTTTTCTAATCAGTCTTGCTCCTAGGAATTGTGGGGGCGTGGTCATATAAACAAACAGCAGATGCAACGGAATACTAGTAATCCCAATAGCAACCCACAACAACGTCCTCTCCCGCTTAATCCTGAATAGATTCCGAACACTCGGAACTCCAATGTCCATCCATCGTCTCCTGGCGTGGGCCGCGTCAACCTCGCTGCGTGTCGGAGCGGCAAGACACTGCTGTGTATAATTACTCGCGGACAACAGCAGTGTGGAAAGGAAATTTATCACTAGGTGCAACCACATTCCGATCTTCTTACTCTTCTCACAACTGCCCGAGTACAACGTACCAACATCTCTTTCCATATCGTACCCCGGACTCGTGGCGGCGTAGATTGTTAAACCGATGTTTATAATCAGAACGACTAGGACGGAGGTGGTGCAGCCTAAGACTCCCGCATGCCAACCTGTGTACCAAATCGGTTTCCGTACGGACGAGAGGGCGATCCACTTTTCTCGGGTGAATTCGAATTCTGGTATAAGTACTTTGATCCGGGAGGACTTGCTTCCTCCTCCTCTTCCTCCTCTGATGTTGGGGATAATATCACCTGGTAACACAACCCTCCATTCCGCCAACTTCTTTCTGAAATTCAACATTTTCTCGCACGCAACTCGATGGATTGATACTAGCCCGTTTCTTGTCATCTGGGGAGAGGGAGAGAGAGAGCTGTTCTGAAGGCCAGAAGTGGTTTCGAGGGAAGCCTCTAGTTATAATTATTCGAAACTCCCCTTTGGGCCACGATGGAAACTCTCGGTGATTTCAGAGTTGAAACACAATATACCGGTGCTGGTCTGGAATCTCGAGAAGGTGCATCACGTGGGGCTTATCCCATTATCCAATAGAATCATAGCTATACGGAGTAGAGGCTCAAAACATTGTCGCACGAAACTACCTTATCTGATGCCAAGAAGGGGGCTTCTCCACCCGCGGAGGCTCTGCCGGACCTGGAAAAAGTCGCAGTTCTGAGTTGGTGTTTCCACAGCGGTCTGGAAGGTTGCCCCTGTAAACAGTGGTACCGGTATTTCAAATGTTTTCTACCCCTTGCGGTATTGTCGCAGTATGTATCCCCTGAGTATCGAAATTCCGGGAGTCTTTTCTAAGTGTAGGCGGATAATACGGGCGCCCGAGAATTAACCTCGCGCTAAGGTACGCGATTAGGCGTCAGCCGGTGACAGCTGCCGTGGCTAATCTGCCTGAATGCGAGGCGGGGAAGTGAAGTTTAGAATTGCTTCAAGATCCGAGCCCTGGTTGCGCAGAGGTAGGATATGGCGTTTTAATTGAGGTTTCGGAATACATGGGTGTAGGGACCTTATTTGGGCGTATACTGATAGTTCATGCCGGTTAACAGTGCGCACTAGGTGGGCCGAGGTGTGTTACGTGGCTGTGTCGGTTTTCTGTCTGGGCCCCACGATGAGGATTCTGGAAGTGCAATTTTCAGAGTGAGGACCCACCGGCACAGTACCCAGAAAACCTAGTCATGACAGGATAACACACATTATTAAATAGGTAATAGTGGTAAGTTAAAAAAAGGGCGAGATTCCCCATCATAACTGTGGCGATAGATATTAAATGTCTGTGGCTGAAATAACATGTTTTTCTCACTTCTCACCCGGGGTCTATCAATTTGTATCTTAATCATAGATTCCAATTAATTCCCCTGACTTTTGCAAAGATCACTACTTTGAACTCCTTTTTCTCGATCTTTTAGTATTTTTTTTTGTAATTTTTGCACGACTATTGCTAGCTTGGGTAAGGAGTTAGTAGGACTAAATGTTCTGGTACAGTACAAGTTTTAATCCACACTAACTGTTAAACTTTGACCAATTCAGGTTTTGTTGATTGACAGAATTTTTTATTATTATTGCTAAGAGAAGGAGAAAGAATATTGACATCAAAAGAAAGAAGTAAGCGAGAAGAGAATGGGACTGCCTTTTCTAGTACATCCCACCAACCAGACATGCAACACCACACACCAGACAAACCCCAACTACGCGATCGAGCCCATGGTATCGTCCCGGTTCCTCATAGCCCCATCGGAACACCAAGTGCTTTTACCTATAACAAGCAGTTTCTAACACTAACCATAATAATAACCCTCCCATAGGCTATTCTGTGGGCTCGCGCTAAGATTAAACTAAACTCGGCAATACTTTACCCTCAGCCGACTCGTAGCGCGCGAGGATAAATCCGGTGTTCCCAAGTGTCTAGTCCGTCCGTCCTTGGCTTCGGACGGGACGGACCCCGGTTTCTGGAACTCTGTCCGCCCTGGACGGACCCCGGTTTCTGGAACTCTGCCCTGGACGGACGCTTATCCTGTGGCCCATCTGACCGCTACCCGGGTCGGCCGGCCGGGCCCTATCGTATCATAAGTGTCTCACCTGCATAATTCATTCCCAATATAGTAAGTCTGTGGTCACGACGAAACCAAAGTTTTATATGTAAATAATAGTAGCTTGGTGCCTCCCCCACCTGGCCGGTATTGCCGCAAATGGCCCTGTAGATGACGGCCGGAAGATGCCATTTGTATTAAGACTCCCAGGCCCGGGCATCAACCCCGAGGACGGCGGTTATTATCAAAGGCGGACGCCATGCCCTGCCGCCCTTACCGACCCTGCCCGGGACGGTTGGGGACACTAGACAAATCGTTTAGTCGGAACGTATATAAGTGCCAAGGAAGCGTCTGGAAGATGATGAGATTTCAGCAGGGTGTTTTTGGAGCACGTGTTTGAGGGGTGATATCGGGCCGCTGGAAGCGAGTAATCTGTCTACTGCATGGGGTGACGGTAGGGCGGTAGGCTAGTGTGGCGCTTAGGATAGCATTCTTGTTGGGCAGATCTCGGGTAGCGGTGTGAGAGGGGCCTGGTTATTCGGCATATGATAGACGGATTACTGAGCACTATCACAGCCGAAGTACACGGATAGACATGACTATCACGCAGGATAACGTTGAAGATTTTGCCTTATATTTGTTTCCTTCATCACTTTGCTCTTAGTCCACTTAGTTCCTTTCTTATCGTGTTGTGCTCTCGAAGATGTGTATGATATTCGTTACCTTCAACAATTCTCTCCTCTTCGATGACATCTTTTTCCTAATCATCACCTCTTCCATATTTTCAATAGTATGGCGGCAAGAGGTGAGGCCCTGGTGAGTGATGTTTTAGGACTTTGTCTTATTGTGTATCATTCCTCTCTGGAAATCCTCATATAGACCCGGCCCATCCCGTTTATCGGGATGATATACAATATAGTCCTCCACATGCATCGGGCATCTAAAGCTAAATATAACTTATATAGCTCCAACATTGCAAACTCTATTTTTCCCCGTGATCTGGTGAAAGAAGGGGAGCGGTCTCTGAAAGAGTAATCATATCATACTTCCCGTCCCGGCATAAACCTCTCCAAACACCGGCTTCCCAACCATCTCACTACTTGAGAATGCCAAATGCCTCACCCCCAGGTCTGACGCGATTCTCACATCCCCCCAGCGCACTTTCTTCCTTGTAATAGCTTCCGAGTCCTCCCCCCGGGTGTGACACGCTGCTGAAATCGCCGCGGAGCAGCTCCCGACAGTAGCAATCTCCTCAGAAAAAGATCTGTACCCCATCCCGGCGGCGGTCAGGAGAGTAAGAGCCGCCAGAATTAGCACGAAAATGATGGCAAAGCAGGAGTACAGTACCCCACACCACTGATCGTTGACGAAATCTCCTCCCCGATTGGGCCCCTTATCTCGACCCTTGCGAGGAATATCGATTGCGAGGTCAACCAGTGGAGGAGACCGCCCAGGGTCATTAGAGGGATGGCGTAGGTGTAAGGTATTTGAAGCCAGTACGTGGATAGCTGCCCTGTGCGCGGGGATGTGACGCGGAGGCTACGGTGGTGGTGACTGAAGAGGGACCATTCGTGGCCCGAGAGCATGCAGGTGAAGAGGGAGTTGTAGGTTAGATAGAGGAACGAGAGGATTATTTGTGGAAGGTTGGCTAGGAGGGCTGTCTTAGTAATGTTCCTAAATTCAAGGGCGACTAAGGAGAGTTTTGAACGAGCAGTGGAACGGCGGTCGCAACGGCGAACGAACAGGGATCTATCTCTACTGGCCAATCGGGGGCCAGCCGAGTGACGAGCTATGAAACGAAACGCCAAGCTTAAGCACGCAAAAGAGGATCGCCCAAGGCAAAGAAAAAACTTTTCACTATCACTCTCTCTCTCCCGCTCCCCTAACTATCGCATACTCTTCTAACTAACGGCGAACATAGGAGAATATATCAACCACGGGCGACGCCCGACAAACCACCATCTCTCCTAACCTCCCCCCCCCAGGTAAGTCCTCCGCTTCCCTTTTCCGAGCAAACACACAAACTAACAAAGGAAAGACAAACTCGTGCCTCCCCCCCCCCAGGTGAGTCTCCATACCCGAGCAAACAAGAAAAGAAAAGCTAACAAAGAAAGAAAGAAAGACAAACTTGCGCTTCCACCGTGCGCTATTTCGCGGTGCTCTTCCGCCGCGCTTTTCCTGCGCTCCTCCTCCCCGCGCATTCCAGCGCTCTTCCTGCGGTCCTCTGCCGCGCGCTCTTCCTGCGGTCCTCCGCCGGTCCTCCACCGCTCTCCTGCTGCGGTCCTCCACCGCTCTCCTGCTGCGGTCCTCCACCGCTCTCCTGCTGCGGTCCTCCACCGCTCTCCTGCTGCGGTCCTCCACCGCTCTCCTTCCGGAAAACTAACAAACAAGCAAACAAGCAAACCAATGCGGGATGGGAAGGAAGGGGGGACTGGGGGTTAGGAAATGGGAATGGGGAGAAGGAGGGAAGGGTATGAGGAGGACGGGGAGAAGGGGAAGGGGATGGTACCGGGCAGGTGTGGGGAGCAGCTTGGATTTCCAACAGGTCCGAGCCCACATAAGAGCCAAGGCAATGCCGAGCGGGTGGTGGGGCTTTGGCGGGGGTTTTTGTTTGGAGAAGATGTTTGATGGGTTTGGGTGATATCTGGCCCTAGAAGCGAGTAATATATCTACTGCTAGTAGCGAGGGCGATAGCCTGGTGTGGCACTAAGGGTGGCATTCTCGTTGGATAGATCACGGGTACCAGCGGGAGGGGGACGGCTGGTTATTCGGTGAGGTGGATTATTGGGC